TATATATATATATATATATATATATATATATGTTTATATATATATATATATATATATATATATATATATATATATATATATATACATATATATATATGTTTTCTGCTTCGCTCCCGAAACACGTGCGTCTGTTTGTTCGGCGGAGCATGCAACAACTCTGACGGGTGAAAGGAGCACAGAGATAGAAAGCGAGGTAATGAAAAAGAAGCAGAAAGAAAGAGAAAGCGAGAAATTTTTGGCGAAAAAAATTCTTGGTGAGGTTGATCTTGGGGACGATTTGAAGGCTAGCGCGTAAATCCCCGCAGGCACGCTAGCAGAGCATAGCATTGCTTTGTATGGCATAGAGAGGGGTGGGAAAGAGAAGAGACGTGGTGGAGGCCCCGAATTATCAGTTGGGGAATGCAATAGAAAAAATTGGGGAGAAAGCGAGAATACAGAGAAATAGGTACTGAAAAAATAGGCATAGAAAGACAGAGAAGGAGTAGGAAGACACAAAAAAGCGACAGAAAAGGCAGAGAGTTTGACAGAAAGAGAGAATAAAAAATAGAAAAAAAGGTGAAGATAAAGATGTAAGAAGAAAGAAAGAGAAAAGAAACACCAGAAATGAACGAAGTTTCTTCCAAATTGTATTGCGATATGATACAAGATACGTTGGGAAGAAATATTTGAGATACAGATACAAGATACTTGCGGGATTATTGTGTCCGACGCAGTACTTTCCACTGTATTGGAAGGTACTCCAATAGATTTGCATATTTGCTGTTATAGGTAGATATGATAAAGCACCAAATGCTTCTGCCGAAAATTTTTACTTACTTAAAATATTTTTTGTTTAATTTAACCAAATTTGTTTATATTAAAAACATTTATTTGTATCCCATAATTTCCGTCATTCTTGCTCAAGGTCCAGTAGTTCAATTTAGAAACAAATATTTGGGATTCGATTCGCTGTTTAACATGACAACTCATTAAACGTGTGCTGTCAGAGGTTTCTGTTTGACACATTAGTATTTGATGAGTGTGGCTATTCTACTTGCCGACCAGCAAGGGGGTTGCCATCTGAATACAACTACGTCAATAATAAGCCTCCGCATGACGCCGCTGCGCTTTCATTCCTTGTTCGTATACGCGCGTTAACGTTATCGCCCGACATGTGCAGAGCAGCAAGTACGCCGGTAGCAATATTTTTTGATGGCAGTTCCCATTTACTCTGCAGACTTGAAACTGCAATTATTTTCATATTGTGCTTATCTGTTTGCTAAAGCGTTCATGAGGATCAAATTCACTAACGTGCAATCTTTAAAATTTCTTATCAAAAAACAAAAAAACTTGCGCCACCAAGAAACGTTCCAGGTGTATTGTAGTCGTTCAAAGCATAACAGGACCGCACTGCAATTCACAATATTGCCTCCAATATTCTGGTGATTTGTAACAGCAAAAAGCTTTACGGTGGCTTAGAAAAAAGAAAACGAATATATCTTGATCAAATAGCAAGACGGTTCCGCATAAGACAAACTGGGAATAAGTATATAGTGTGTTTCACGCAACGAACCAAATATCCCATAAAAGGGGTAAACCACGACAGAATAAAACCCATCAATTTGACACGTAAAAATCAACTCTTTCGCACTCAGTAGGCTAGCTAGACAACCACCCTCACACACAGGAAAAAAGCCGAGTTACGGGCCTGCCCATTCTTCAGCGCTAGGGGTACTATATATTTGGAGCTTGGCGGCTGGCAGTATAACGCCGGAAAGGTTCGCAAATATTTAAAGTGTATTGCTGGATAAAACATAGATTGTGGTGCCACGTATGCGAAATCTATACATCGTGCGTTTTTTTTTTATAAGGGAATTCAAGAAACTGATTGGCGCTATATTTTATCGCCGCACATGTGCAGTCACGCTGAATATTAGTTGCAACACGCCTGCTGCAGTTGAATGACCCTAAGCATTAACAATGACACTAACATACATTAAATTGGTTCAGAAAGTACCACTAACTGAAATAGTTTAATTTACCATGTTTTTATGAAGGGGCCGCTTAGCAGGTTTGACACCTATTTGAGTACAGACAGCTTGTTCCACCTCAAATTGAGCGTGACTTTACATTGCACTTTGTAACGTCTGCTTGCCTATTTTCCATACTTCCTTCACTTTTCTTATCTGAATGGTTGCCGTTATTACTCAGAGAACGTGGTGTATACGTTAATTATGTCGTGAAACAACAACCGAGAATCAAAGAGTGACGCATGGGCGCCGCCCATTCTCAGCTCCTGTTCTCTGCACGGCCTCTTTGCTTGAGCAGAAATAACTTTTAATTGCGGCCTCATCCAACAGGAAGGAGAGGGCAGCTGACGAGCGCACCTGAATTGCGGCACACGCCTTTATGAAGCGTGGACCACGTGCCACCTATGCGGACTTGGTAGAGAGAGAAAAGAAACTACTAACGACTTGCATGGAATTGCCACCGGCGGCCATGCCGGTCTGCTCTGGAGCTTGCAGCTGAGGCAGTGGAAAGTGATGAGGAAGAGATGCTATCGCGCGACGTGAAATGGAAGGGAGCGTTTCCGTTCTGTTAGCTTGTATCACGAGCCCTCGCTTTGCTTCCTGAGGCGACGCACTTGGGAGAAGGTATTGTTTCCTTATGTGTATTCTCCACGACTCAAAGTAAACCCGTCATGTAAGGCCACTATTACGGGGTCGTTATTCATGTTCTTGAAGTGCCAAAGGAAAGCTATACCAAACTATTAGTGTCACGACGCTTGCGTTCGCGTGGTGCTAAGATTAGAGTGGCGGTGCACCGTCCATTCTTAGAACAGCTGATGGTGCGGTGCGTGCAAGTTTATAGACGAGAATATAGTAGGCGAGAAAATTGTGGCGTTACGAAGAAATGCGTGGAGTGAGCATGCACACGTTGAGCATAAGGGAAGCCGTATGCGAAAAGTGGGCATAAAACAGAGGATTTCAATGCAGCTGTGATGAGTTATCTCACTTGACTGGGGCTACATTCTGCTGACATTTGTTTTAAAATGGGAGCCGCAAAAGGGTGGCTTCATTTCGCAAGTTAATAATATGACGGAACAGCAAATTTAACATGTCCAACTTGTAAACCAGTGATGGCCTAAGGTTCCACGAATTTGAATGTTACGTGATACAGAGTGGCCTATATTTTCATTTCAATGATCGTTGAGTGCGGAAATTCTATCGAATATTTCTCTAATTAGCATTTCAATTAAATAATCGGACTCTTCTTTTACCGCATATTCGACCAAGCATTACAATCCTGCACAGTCCACAATCACAATTTGGACGTTCGTGTGCGCTATAGGCACTCGTCCAAAATGCTCAATACGTGATTTGTCTTTCTTATGGCTTTGTAGTGCATGCTAATGGTGTCATGCAAAATCTACTTATGCTCTGATAGTCATGCTATTGTCACTTTTTTGTAGTGCGAATAAAAAATAACCAGTGTCATGTCGACAAACTATTCACTTGGTTTTAACGTTATATATTTATACATATTGGTTTAGTGTTATGAGCGCAAAATACTTGTACCAGATAATGTCCTGGAGTAGAAAGTAAAAGCCACGAATGGAGTTAAAGGCCATAACGCTTATTATGAAAGGTTACTTGTTGCGTTCAGATGTATTTTCCTTCGCGTTTATTTAATTTAGAGTGAGAGGCTCGCTTTCGGCAGTATTGATGATTTTCGGCATATCCTGTCACGTGACGCCCCCGAGTAAAAAAAATGGTTACCTATTCGCCGCCATGGTTAGGAGTTGCGCTGGCTAACATTACCAGTGTTGCGCACGCAGGGTTACTATTAAAAATGCACGGCGTAACAGCCGCTACATTAGCACAATGATAGTACACCGCATGTGCGATTCGGAAGCCTTCTGCTCAGTTTACTTTTTTGGCAAGTTTCTTTCTGTAAGTGTTGTTTTTGTCTAGTTTCACTTCTACATACCTTATAACTACCACTTTGTACTTAATGTCATTATCTGTCGTCTTTACAGTTTCGTGCCTAAGAAAAATGTACCCCTCGATCATTTCTCCTTCATACTTTTTGTGCCCGTTCTGCCACATGACACGGCTGTCATCGACGGTAGTACTAAGTGTGAAGGACTATTTATAATTTTTAAGAATGCGTTGCGTTGTCTTCAAACGTTATCTGGAAGCTCTTAAGAAATTGCATTGTACAATTTGATACCTGACTACTTTAGAAGTAACGGCAATTAAAACGTTAAAAGTGTCATGACGATTGTTATAGCACGAGAACAGAACGACGACAAAGAGACAAGAAAGAGACGAGCACTCTTTGTCGTCGTTCTGTTATCGTGCTATAACTATCGTCATGTCATACCAAGTAGCCCAAACTGCCACACTTATAAGCTAAAGGTGTGTTAGTAGTGCGATAGTTTACTACAGAATGGCATATATTAAGATAGTGTCAATACGTACATATATTTTGCTCCACTGCCGGTTTCTCGAAGCGCTTTTCCCCTGCAGAGAGGTGATTCAGTGGTATCGGTAAATGTTTAGAAGAAACGTTGACCGCTGAAGTCAGAGCCAAGAATCTTTGACGCTGAATGGCACTGCTAAGTGGCGGAAATGTTTGTCTGATCAGACGTCTGTGCACTACTTTTTCCTTTACCACGAAACCTACATTTCTTTGTAGCGTGTAAATAATGAAATGTTTTTTGTACTCAAGAAATAGTAACATATATTGTTCTATGTTTTCTAATAGTCTGGCTGTATCACTGTCACTAGCCTTACAAGTGGCTGAAATTTGAAAAAAAAAAAAGAAATCCAAAATAAAATATAGATTTCAATATTTTGCCAGACTCAAGTAATTCTAAAAAAAAACGCATCGGAATTTTCACAATTCCCCCCAGTTTATGCAAAATGACGCGCCACTGACAGCGGCACCAAATATTTGGAGTACCGGTCGGTGCAAGCTGATTGCCAAGAAAAAGAAAAGAACGAAAAAACAGAGCAGCCCATTTGGTACAAATTTTATTTAAAAGCCGCAGCATTTGTACAAAATTTACAGAGAGAAGACAACAGGTGCCGTTGTACGTGGCTTGCCATCTTGCTCTTTCCCGTTATAAGGCGTAATCATTCTTGCACTCAACCCTTGAGAGAGTAACCGCCGTATCCGCCGTATCCACCGTAGCCTCCGTACCCTCCGTATCCTCCGCCGTATCCTCCGCCGAATCCGCCGCCGTATCCTCCACCGTAGTGACCTCCAACCAGGTGAGCTCCCTGGCTAATCCTGTTCACGTGGTGCACAGTCTTGACGAGGAAAGAGGGCCCGGGAACAGTCTTGGTGTAGCCGAGGCCATGGCCGCCACCGTAGCCACCACCGAAGCTGGCATATCCCAAACCGTAGCCGCCACCGAAGCCGTAGCCGCCAGCGAGGCAGACTCCGGCCAGACAGCAGACAAGAAGGGCGACAACCTGAAAGAAATTGCGTTCGTTCGAACATGAAGTAACTCCGTGCCATGGGACTGCATTGTAACTGTTAAACTGTTGACTAGCTTTTAATAAACTCATGTGAGTTAATGGCTTATCGAGCTACATTTGCGCAATTTATACAGAAACGGTTACGATATTTGAGTTTAGATGGACATTTTCGGCTTTGCCGCACGGATACCCCAAAAGATGATATGCGATGGTTATACCACACATTTAGGTGTCAAAGCAATGTACAAGGCTTTCTTCTCACCTTATTCACACATCTACACAGTATTGAGTATGACACGTTAACTAGTTAAAAACGAAATTTTGCATTAACGAAAACACTTAAAGTGCCCTGTTAGTTGACTGCTCATAATTTGTCATGACACAGGCAAACACGTAAGAGTAAACCTGGAACGTAAATACCTTGTCAGAAATTACCAGGAATTGTATGTATACCTGTTAGTTTAAGTAGCGCGTAATAGCTAGCAGGTAGCGAACGACAAGCTACAGTCTCAAAACAATGCAACAAATTTCAGTTAGAAGTGGCACGATTCAATGAAGTCGCATGAGGCAATGCTCTGAAGTCCGGGTGGACAACGACAGCTGAGGTGGTACTGCGTTGTTCACCGAGGACATACAGAGGCAAACTATGGGCAAAGGAAGGCTATTGAACGAAGGCTCCGAGGGAGCCAGGCAAGTGGTGCCCGACAAGAGAGCGGCAGCGGACCGCTCAGCTGACTCGGAAACCAGGAGCCACCGAGCGATCCATGCACTTCACTACTGCTGGCTGTGCACTCACCAGGGTCCTCATGGTTTGGCTTGCGCTTAGCTCAGAAGTGCTAAGGTGGAGTGATGCCGTCCGTTTCCTCGGCGCTGCTTATATACCCAGAGGAGGCCGGAAACACCCGCCCCATTAGAGCGTCCCCTCCCTACTCCGTTTTCTCCTCGGACCCAAATTCTGCTCCACTTCTCGCCGCTTCCTGCCGTTTCATTGATATGAGCCACTCGTGGACAAGCGCTAATATGAAAAGTAATTTGTCGCTGTACGACTCCCGCCGGGGCTTGGAAACCGGTGGGACGGCTTTCCTCCAGCCTCTTCGGATATATCTGTCTATATTTTTGTCTTGTCTCAAAAGCTTTGTATCAATCGTGCTGCTTCCAAGCAGCAAACGGTGGCAAAAATTAGTGCTCTCGCTTTCTTTACTTTTTTATTTTTTTATTTTTTTTGCTGGTCACCTGTCTCCTCGAAAGACAAGCATCGTGTTCCACAAAGTGCAGCGCTCAGTGCCTCACATGGCTGGTCACTTCTGCGTTCCGTTTACTGCTTCTGACGTTCTCGTCGTGATTTTAGTGGCCCACCGAGTTTTACCCGTTGTCGCTCGAGGCTTCGCTGGATCGCTCGCCGTATGCATACACGCCTGTCCCAGCTTTGGTGTCCCGCCATTGCACGACTTCTCGCGGTCGCCTGGTGTCAGCCTGATGTTAATCAGTTCCTCGGAACAAAAAAAAAAAAAAAAAGGTCTCCTTCCTCGTGTGAGCTGGGGTAAATAAATGGCACGCGTTACATAAAGTAGTCGTGGTGTGGAAATTATGCTCTTGCAGATTATCACATGCTTACGTACGACTTTTGCCCTTCTGTAAAGTACACAGTTGCTCGCCAATGCTGTGGTATGGTGTCGAATAATTGGCACTGTGTGCGTGTTTCTATGTCACTGAATCGCGAAAGTATTGCGAAGTATTTTTGGGGGTTATTGTGAGCGCTCAAAGGCATTCAACATAAAAGATTCACTGACTGAATATATGAGGTACTAATCAAGACTGGATGGTGCTAGACATATATCATCCACATAAAATGTTTGAAAAGGTAAAAATAATGCTCAGAGTCGTGGCTCATTTACTGAATTAGATCACGAACAGTGAGCAACTGCCAGATATATAACGTATTCCTTCTTCGTTTGTTCTCGTGGTGGGTGCAGTGAGTAATGTCAAAATTTAACTATTCTGTGCACGTTACGACAACATGTAAGTGTGATGTCTGTGGAGCATAACATATACGAACTGCGGGGAGCTCTAATGTGCAAGCCTGTGGAGCTTAAGATATGTGTTCTTAAGATCGACAAAGTCATCGTAGATGAATTGAACGCCAGTGTTTTCACAAGTAACTCTAAAGAACTTGATTGATATGTGGGGTTTAACGTCCCAAAACCGCCACATGATTATGAGAGACACCATAGTGGAGGGCTCCGGAAATCTATAAAGAACTTGTAGTAATAATTGTATGTACCTAGAATTTCGTATTATGAACTGTAATGCGCACTTGATTTTTTCTTGCGAATAAGTGTCCTGGTTGTACTGAAGAAGCCCGTAATTTCGCTCGGGCTGTGACTGCTTTATTGCTGTTAGTCGTAAGCGAATAAACAAGTGGTAGTATTTTGTCAGTGCTTCCGTTGAAATAATTCTTGAACCGCCCGGACTCTGGCATAGCCTACCGTAGCGACTGCTAGGATGCCTCTCGGGGACACCCTGGTAGCTTAAAATTTTGAGGACCTTTTAATAAAGTTCTCGATCTGACTGACTGACAGCTCACGTGTGATATACTGTCATGCTGACAATATCATTTGAATTAATTTTGGTACGTGACTCTTGCACTCTCGCATTGGAATTCCCAACCTCATGCTCAACGACATAGCATGCAGGCGCTAAGCTGTTGGTTGGAACCGATTGCGACAGCGTGAGTTCTCTGACATTGACGCCAGACTCTGCCCGAGCGGCGCTGCGAAAAACGCCGCCACCAGCGCTCTGATTGCCACACTGGCCGTAACTGGATAGTGCAAAGAGAGCCGTCCGCAAGTGAACGTACATAGGCTCGATAATATATGGTAGTGCAGACAAACGACACGGACAAGAGATGGCACATTTAAAACAACACAGCACTAACTTTCAACCTGTTATCTTGAATGCACGCGCCTTCTCTTGTCCGTGTCCTTTGTCTGCGCTATACCTTATATTATCATGCTACCACACCAACAAGCCCAAATCACCACCCTCAGTGCATAGGCTCCCCTCTTTCGTTTGTGTTGAGGCACGGTTTCCTGAAAATCAAGAAGCTGGCAAGCTTCTTACGTCCATCCATCCTCACTTCAAAAAAAAAAAAGAGGAAGCTCATCAAAGTGAACTGCGGGTACAATACAAAAGATGTTTCAGTTATTTACGCGTGCTGCGACTCGCAATTGCAGTGCAAGCCAGCATCGCACGACATCTAGTTAGTCGAGTGCTGCGGCATGCGTTCTGTAACGCCTTAATGCGCTAAATTTGGGCATACACATCATGCCAAAGCGATGAAGTACTACACGAGCATTGTATATTACGATCAATGTTACGAAGCAAAGGTCTCGGTGATTTCCACCATTGCAGTTGCATTCTCCGTTCATCTCTCACTCGCTCTGCGTTAAATGGCTTTATTACATATCATAGAAGTCCTTCTGTTTGTATATACTGCTAATGGAGATGCATGCGTGTCCACTTTCATGATGCACAACAAACGGCAAAGCTGATGCCTCAGAAATTGCTCCAGCCATCGCGGAGACCAACGGCAAAAAAAAAAAAAACTGATTGTGGTCACGTCTATGATTTTGTGATTTACCTGTAAAACGCACGCCTTCGCATTTCCTAGTGAAAGCCGAAACTTACAGCCTTCAAAGCCTACGTGCGCGATTTTGTGTGGTGACGGCCACTTCAGATTATCAGTGATTGTGGCGCACGTGATGTTTGTCTCGCGCGTCACCATTCTGTACTGTTGCGCTGCGCGCACCGCGGTCAAAGACTCTGTTTAGCTTCATAATCAGAGTTACCACGGTTCTCCGTCAATGCTACTCAAGACAATAACAGGACACCTACACTATCACACTTTCTAATGCGACCAGCTGTGGAGAATGCGAGTGTAATTCGTTTACCCAACACGTTCGCAACGGCCCGTATGCAGCGCTCTCACCGTTATGCTTCGTGAAAGCTACGGAAATCCGTAAAACTGAAGTCCTTTACGTCTGTGGCAGTTCACAACGCAACAGTGTTGTCGACTGAAGTATTTCTTCGTTGAGCGTGGAGCTGTTGCGTCTGCTCTTCTTGTCACCGTCGTTCTGGCGAGTGAACCAGCAATCACTTCATGGCAATTAGGTGACACGTCCGACTAGCGGTGAGAAATTCTTAGCTCTTTTTCTGAGTATTCAATACCTAAACACACCTGATAATTAACCCAATCATCGTTTCACACGCACTAGTTGCACATGGCTGCGCAGCAAACTGTGCAATGGAGTCGGGCGGAGCACTACCCAAAACTGCGTCGACAGGTGGCGCTACGTATCTAAAAAAACTCCAAAGCCTATTAGACGCCTATTAGAGCACATGCCACTACACGTAATGCATAAGCCGCGTTTTGATTGCAAGGCCATTTCACTTGTTTGTAATAACCAAGGTCACTCTTGTACGCGTATTGCGCCATGTGTTCTCGTTTCGATTTACATCGGCTTTCAGTTAGGAGGTAATTCCTTCCTTTATCACCTTTGATTCCCTCCGCCACTTTTCACAGCATGGTAGAAAGCACTTACACTGGCTAACCTCCTCATCCTTCACTCTTATTTGATGTATTCAGCTAGCAATTATTATTATTATTAGTAGTAGTAGTAGTAGTAGTAGCAGTAGTATTAAATCTGCTCACAGAGGTACACAGAAAAAAAAGTAAAAGAAAACAGGCCGACAAATGCCGCCTAAGGTGTGCGCAATGCCTGCTTATTCTTTTGGGAGGAAGGAAAAGAGAGAGCAAATGAAGAGAGGAGGAGATTTCGAGTAAATTTGACAGCAGCAAGCAGTCATACCCGCTTTATCAAAAGTACATGTACGAATACCGTCCACTTGAGCGCTTATGTAAATACATAGATGGAGGCTGGAAGTGGTGAAAAATGAAGCGACAAAAAGAGTGTTAATTACCAACTCGCCACCTCGGCCACGAGAGACGGTGGCTAACACTCCTAGGGATTACATGCACAGGGATACTAAATGAAGTGCGTTAGGAAACTCCTTCCGTTCAAGCTGACTTGGGAGGGCATAGAACGTGTAATTAGAAAGCTATGACATCACTTCCTACCACCGGAAAAAGTTAGTTTTTTCGACTTTAATTTCTTTCATTTTAGGTCATAATAACAGCACTGCAGTTCAAGACAAAAACTAATGTCCGATATACTTTCGCGTAACTACTCCAATTGCCTGTTGGATTTATTTGGTTGTGTCTAACGAGAAAATGAGCGCCTTGAAAACTTTTCCTTCTTTGTTCATTAAAGGAAAAATGGCGTTAAGCCCTCATGCAGGGGCGTAGCCAGGGGATGGAACACCGGGACCATGCCACCCCTCTCCCCCCCCCCCCTGCCAACCACCGTAATATTTTTCGCCAAGGCCTAGAGATTAAAAAGTGACTATTTCAAGGAAGTGCCCTCCCTGAAACCAAGGAGGTCCCTTCCCCTCCCCTTTACCCCCGAAAAAAATTTCTCCTTACGCCCCTAACTCTCAGGTCTTTACAAAAAAGATCTGAAGACGTTAAATTGCGGTATACATGTCATAGCATGCATAATTTGGAAAGTGCAGGCCTTGGGGTCACTCGTCGCGATGTGAGATGTCATAGCATGCATAATTTGGAAAGTGCAGGCCTTGGGGTCACTCGTCGCGATGTGAGATTGTTATCTTGTCGTTTAGCGCTAATCTACTAGTCAAGTAGTATCTATAAACGTAAAGCGACCGACAACTAATTTTCATGGTACCTGTTTACTTTTGGTGCAACAAAAACGTTGCCGGTCAATAC